TGCACGGTAAAAATTACTAAACGGGTAAGTACTTTTTTGTTCAGTGAACTGTGTACTGGAAAGTGTTGTGTTCATCCAAACTAGGCGGTTCTAAGGAATCATTCTTGTAATCCATTCAGAATGGCCTATTTGCTGCCTTCATCTAAACCTAAACAGTATCACGGTTGCAGCTCACTTGAAGTTTTGCGCTGCAGCTTCACTTCTCATCCTTTTTTGTTAATTTGCCACCGCTTACGATTCCCTTCACTAACTTATCCGGTGTTATATTCAACTTCATCCCTCTTTGAGTATTTTTGGTTAGTTTCTATGTCCTGCCTCACCTTTTGAGAATTACACTCAGCAGTAATTATTACTTGAGGCAACTATGAAACGTGCGATGTTGCATATAATATGCCTAAGGAAGTCAAAAGGACACCGAGGTTGGGACGAGACATGCCTTCGGCAAAGTACAGTTGAATCACAAGAGCAGAAAACAAGTATCTCATTACCCAACGAGGGGAGCGCTCAGTGGAATGGGATCACGATTGAGGAGAAAACATCGAAGATAACACATTAGCAAACGACAGTAGATGAATTACTCGATTAGGAGAGTCCAAAGAGTTCAGGAAAACTAACTGTTGTATCTCGAACGCTTTGGTTCTATCCCAATAGGGACATGTGGTGTGGTTTTTGTACTGCTTACAGTAATGCCAATTTTGCAGGGGAAGGAACCCTCAAGATGCGTGATCAACTTCGCTTCCACTTTTACATCCACCTTGGAGCTCCCTATCCTTCCAATTTCTGTGTGGTCAGAATCGCACGCCAAGACCATTTTCACTTTCTTTCGCGCATAAATCAACAAATGCTGGCTAATTATTTTCAAAATTTCAAACACGGTGATTGGTTCTCCCGCATTCATCAAACAGCAGAAAATCAAGGAACTTCAATGCTCATGTCAAAGCTTCGAAGAGCAAATCCAAAAAAACCACTGGTGATGAAGCCACAATGAAACTTGAACACACCGTTTTCTGAACAAAAAAGAAACTGAACAATACTTACCCCGTATAGAAATTATTATCATCCACTGTAGGTTGCTGTGAAGTGCGATGTATCACAGCTCCAAAATGATCGTGACACAATCACTCCAAGAAACTCCACAACCACTTCGAAGTAACTCTACAGTCATTCCAATAGTGAAGGGTGCAAAGCGAACTCAGCGCAAGAACGAAGCCGGAGGACAAGAGGAGAATGGTGAACTTGGGAGGCTTTGCAGTCCACTCTACACTGGCGCGCTCCATTGTAGACAGATCAACCACGGTAATCTGCTCGTTCGGTGAGCCGGACGAGTTATCTGGTCGAGATATGGGAGGCGCTTGGGTGGCAACTACAGCGCATGCGCCCCAATGGCAATGTGACCGCGCCATATGACCGCCTCCCGTACTATTCCATCGCAGCGCGGATGGCTACGGCATTACGGTAACTACGAAAGTCTGCACTCTCGGACAGGTGATGCAATTTTTCCGCTGTTGAAGAAATCGTGCAAGTTCTTTCAGCTGGTCCTCTTCGCGTTCAGTTTGTGCTTCCGTGGACGACTTCCTTTTTCTAGTGTGCAGAGGGAGGTGTAGCCAAAGTTATGGTGAGTTTGTGCTCTAGGCGTTTGTTGGCATTAGTTTTTCTCCTTGTGTTCTGTCCTAAATCGCTGTTCAGAGTAGTGGACTGATACTAGCCGGCGTTGTTTGGCTGCTGTAGGCTTTGGTGCACGTTATTTAGTGAGGAATCAAGCATTAATCAAGAAAGGTCTCGAAGCTCTCCCAGGTGGAGTGGTGAGTGTTTATTGAGCTTTTCTTACTCTGTCATGTCGGCATTTTGAAAGTGTATGAATGGCTCGCTCACTTCTGTAATTCTTAACATGCAAAACTAGTTGGGAGTAACGACATGCTTCGATGTACGTAGGGACATTAGTGTCATTGTGTAAATAAGGCGCCTGTCGTCATTCCGAAACAAACTTCTCTCCCCCGGCTCCCGGTAAATAGGCTACTTGTTACTTATACTAGGTCCTTTGAATTGACCTTGAGAGTTAAATGATGAATGGTGGTCTCCCGTCACTTCATCGGACAGTTGTCGATGCTAACTTAGTTGGGGGGGTCGGCATTGTATTCTTAACATGCAAAACTAGTTGGGAGTAACGACATGCTTCGATGTACGTAGGGACATTAGTGTCATTATGTACATTAGGCGCCTGTCGTAAAAAAGCTTCTCTCCCCCCAGCTCCCGGTATATAGGCTACTTGTTACTTGTACTCGGTCCTTTGAATAGACCTTGAGACTTAAATGATGAATGGTGGTCTCCCGTCACTTCATCGGACAATTGTCGGTGCTAACTTAGTTGGGGGGGCCACGCGGCGGCGCGGCAGTCTGCTCACCTGGGCTCTCTCGAGCGAGACAGTGTAAACTCGAACATTCCAGCTTTTCACGCATGTCAAGTGACTGCCCCACCCCCACCCCCCTAGACTGCCTACACTCCCCCTGGCCCACGGATTTCCGAACATGCCAGGCGAGCAGACTGCCGCGCCGCCGCGTGGCCCCCCAACTAAGTTAGCACCCAATTGTTTCTGCATTCCTAAAATTGGGTGTGTATCCCAAAGTCACAGCGCAGCGTCACACCTATTACTGCTAAAATCTCCAGCTCGGGCGTAGTGTGTTCTGCGCACCGCGCTACACTTGCGTGATTCCATGAATCGCAACGAAGTGCACATATAATACACTACATCTATAGAGCACTCGCAGAACACACTACACCCGAGTTACTATAAGTTTGTAATTTCAAAAGGAGCGAAATCGCGCCATGTTTCGTGCTGTGCACCCGTCAAACTTCATAGGCTGGTGTCAGAGTCCGCGATCCGTCGCGCGAATCGTAAAAATCGCAAGTGCCCCATTCAAACATTTGAAACACTGAGTATGAAGCAAATATGCTCCTTTCAAAAAAACGAGAAGAGCGTCGGGTGCAGACCATACACCACAAGTGACGACGGCCTCCACAAAATGTAATGTTTTCTGCCAATGAAATGATTAGCCTGTTGCAGTTGTATTCTATCAGTTGTCACTAATTACAACTATCATTTACCAAAAATCAGCTATCACTATGAACCACTACTAACCAGATTTACTTGGAGGCCGTCGTCACTTGTGGTGTATGGTCTGCACCCGACGTTCTTCTCGTTTTTTGAAAGGAAGGGTAGAATTATGATCAGTACTCATTCAACCATCGCTGTCAAACAGAAATGGCGGCAGGAGGATGGATGGACTCTGACACCAGCCTTAGGTCACTCATAGTCTCGAACTTGATATTTCACAGGCTTGAGTGTTTGGTTCAGTTTGAATTTTGTCTTGAAATTTCTTTTCCATGTGCATCGTTCACTGACTCTTTGTGTGAAGCCGAATATGTTTGCAGTTTGAAAAATATCACCGAGGCGGTTTTGAACCTAAAATGAATCGAAGAGAATCAGCAATCATCCTCGGACTACCAGCCACAGCTAAACCAAATCG